ATGAGACAGACTGACTCACCATAGTCAGGATCGAACTACAAGCCCGAGTTCGTTACGCTAATGGGCCAATGGATTAGTTTGCAACTAATTTTTTTATGTGTTTTTTTAAATATATTTTTAATTATATAAATAATTTTTAAGTTTTTATTTATTAATTAGTATTTTTATTAGATAAATTAAAAAAACTATTAAATTTATGAATTAAATAATTAATTATAATTAATATTTTAAATTTAATTGATTAATTTTATAACTAAAATTATAATATTATAGTATACTAGTGAGTAAATTCTTTACCTTTGACTCGCCAAATTGGCGGACTAAGACAGGATGAAACAAAATAAATTGACAGACTAAAATCACCATCTTATTTCATCATTTTTTAAGGCGGATTGACCCGCCAAATTTAATCTGATTTGCTTTCCAACACAAGTGCAACTCTCTCCATACTTGTGCCATTGCGTCTTTAAGAGCATCCACCCCTAGCCCCCATCTTTGTACCATCATATCCTCACGACAAACCCTAACCCTTTGCCTTTGTGTCATCATCTCGTTGGAAGTTCTAAACCTAACCCTCACCACTGTGTAATCATACCCACTAGCCTCAAAACCCTAGCCCTAAGCTCTATGTCATCATCACCTGGTGAGGTGGAGACCCTAATAGGAGATAGAGAGAGCCATTGAGTGAAACCGTTGTGCAAAAATTATACAATAGTAATAGGGGTATTCATAGGGCAAGGGAGAGAGTGGTAGAGAGCATGTTAGGAATGATATATTTGGGTTTCAGAAAATAGAGAAAGGAAGTGGACTTTCATTGAATGACGAGGGAAGGTATCAATTGTAATAAAAAAAAATTATATAATAAAAAATAAAAAATAATAAATAAGATATTTATTTAAAATTATGTCCTTCGTTCTTTTAAATGTTTAAACTCATCAATAATGGAATCGAACTAAAGTTTTCAGTTATTCTTTTTTCAATATAAATGAGCTTATTATCTACAAGAATTTCATCTTTTATTCTATTTCGCAGTTTTATTTTGATAATCTTCATTGTATAAAACGATCTCTCAGTTGTAGTTGTAGAAACAAGAAGATAACAAGACGAATTAAATTATCTATTAAGTAAAATGTACCTAACTTCCCTATTTTTGTCAAAGATTGACATAATTCAAGCATGATAGACAAATTCTTTAAATATGGATGGTTAGGAGCATCAATTATAAAATGATGAAGTTGAAATTTTAAATTAATCTTCTCTTGTTCACTAAAATCTAAAGGATAAAATTTGTTCACAAGTGTGCATATATGATCAATGTTAAAATTTTTATAAACATAATTTGGAATTAAAGCATTGCTTAAAGTTAAAAGTTCCATTGTTTTCTCACTAAACCTATCATTTAATTCTTGTAATTGTTTATCCACTCTAATAAAAAATATGTTAACCCTGAAATGATGTTCTATTGTAATATAATCTTTTTATGTGAGAACAACCATGACGTGCTACATAGGTAGAATTAAAATTAGGAATATCAATGTCATGTTACTCACAAAATAATATCACATCTTTCAACAAATCTTGTCAACCCTCATCTCTTAATTTTTGAATCAAAATTTTAGTCTAATAGACTAACTGCATAACATTATGTATATCTTGAGATTATTTCTATAAAGCTTGACAAAGACAATCAATAAATCTCATAATTTCTTTCATCATGTATAAAATCAATATGAACTCAAACTTAGACAAAATATTATAAGCAGCATCAATATCACCCATTTGAGAATAAGTTGAACCATTAATTACAACTTTTTGAAGAACTAAACAAGATGTACTATACAATTTCAGCATACTATAAATGGAATGAAAATATGAACTCCAACGAGTATATATCACCAACTCGTTTAAAGTGCCAATTTGATTTTTTTTTTCTTTACTGATTTCAAGTTCACCAAGTTCTAACAATTTAATTATTTCATCTAATTTTGCACTTTGTAACTCATCATGACGTTTACTAGATGAACAAACAACATTTATAATAAAAGTTCATGCTTTGAAACAGGAGAAGATGTTGAATTTGTTTGGTTTTCATCTCTACAAGTATTTCTTTTATCACTTTTAAAAAATGAATCTATTCTTTTATGTTTCATATCTAGAAAAAAATGAATTTATTATTATTTTTCTAATTATAGAATCATAAAAATTTATAAGAAACAAAAATATTTTTCTCAAATAACAAATGTTCCTCAACAAAAAAATTAAAATAACAAACAATAATAGAATAAGTAGTGTGAAAAGATGAAGAAAAAATATCTTTGTAAATCAATATAATTTCAAGGATGGAATAAGAGGAGGAAGGTAGAAAGACGAACAATGAATTTGAAAGTACAAACTATAGAAATAATTTAATACTAATAAATCAATATTACGAGTTAGTGAGAAAATATAAAAAGGTGAGAGAAGATGAAGAACTACTTTTAATCTTTCTTATTTAATATATTCCTTAGAAATTAGATAAACAATTAAATGCTAATAAAATATTACCATTAACGAGAGAGTATGAAAAAGTGAGAGAAAATGGAAAAATCATATAATAAAATTATTTTTAATCTTTCTTATTTAATTTATTCCTTTAATTTTTTTCTTTATGATATATTTAATATTGGGGGATCAAAATCATAAATATAGAAGTAAGTTACAAAACTTTGGGAAGTCATGACCCTCCTTAACTACTATGAAGATCCACCACTGGTTGAATGTTACTAAAGTATTTTTTTTCTATGTTCAATATTTTGTAGTGTTAGTATATAAGTTTTGTGTGTTTAAACATAAATTATTTCCTTTAATATTTGTTCCTTTATTCATATTTTGTTTTGTGGGAAAAGTGAGTTCAACATTATCCTTATATTAATTATGCTATTTCAGATTTGGAGTATAGGATCAACATTTGTTTGTGTAGTTTTATTTTGGAAGTACTGAACATCATAAAATTTCTCTTGACACATTCTCCTCGTAGTGTTATTTAGCATATAGGAAGATTGTAGAATTAGTGGGCCAAGAGGCATATTTTTTTGTCATATTGGTAGCCATGTTCATTATAATGTATTAACATATTGGAAAAAATAGATTGAGAACCCATATCAATAAACATTAATTCGATAACTTCATTTATTAATAAAATAATTAATTTTATTTTTAAATCAATGACTTTATAAATATAATATTAATAAATAAAGTTATATAATAGATGTTTCTTTATACGGTGTAAATATATGATTAAACAAAAAAAAAAAGAATATCTAAGATGTAAAATCTAAATCGCAGCTATTTTAGTAAAATATGTTGAATTGTTGTTTTATAGGATAATCATGTTTTAATAATCGCACAACATTCATTTTACAACTAAATATAATAATTATTTATTATTATATATGTACGAGATATAAGAGAATAATGATTCTATTATATATTTTTGGAGGGTGAAATATATATATATATATATATATATATATATATATATATATATATATATAAAATAAATACCCAACGAGTACTGAGATGGACAATAAACATAATTTTTTTCTTTACTAATAACTAATAGACACTATTAATCCTCGCCTCGTTGTGATGCTACTTATAAATCTAATAAAAAATATATATATATATAGAAGACGAGGGAATGATTTAGGGCACTCGTCTAGTTGGTGATAGTCTTACGTCAACTCACCTAAGAATCAAAAGAATATCGATTATGATCTCTAAATGGAATAAGAAAAGTGTGAGGATGATCTCAAATCAACTTAAGGCATGCATTGTCCCCTTTTGAGGCATCAATCATCCTTTCCCTCCTCTACCTTTTCTTCTTCTTCTTCTTCTTCACCACCTATGCACGTAAATCCACACTTCTCACATTTTAAGCCAATCCCCCCAATTAAAAGCAATAATTAGCCACACCATGGTCTTAGGATACTAACTTCATTACTCATGTTGCTTTTCTTCAATGTTTTTCATCATCATTTTCTTTTCCCCATGTTTAAAAAAAATTATACACTCCAAAATAGTGGCATGGCAAACTCCATTTGGGGCATGGAGACAACCGAAAGGGTAACACAGAATTGCATGGCCCACCCCAAAAGAAAATCAAAAGCATGGTGCTAAAGGAGGAAAAGAAAACACAACCCTCATTATGATGTCTGTGGGGACTTCAATTCCAGCATTAGCATCTTTCCAGGTAAGGAAAGCATCTCCATCCCACCTTGCATTTTCAATCAATTATCTCACACCAGTTTAGTAAAAGCAAAACCGATGGTAGGACATCACCAAATCATATACCATCTTCACTTAATTCGCCTTTTTCTCTTCTTTCTTACAAATCATTCCAATCCTTCACTAAAAAGAATTTGAGATTAATCTCCTTCATATTTCATGTAAAGATTCTTCTATCATTTATTAATTAAAAATCATTTTAAAATCATTTTTTTAAATTACAAATTCATCATTTATAATGATATCTAAACTTTATAAACTCTACTTAAATTCAATGGATTTAATTAATCCTCTGTTTTTCTTTCAAAAAAAAATTGATCAAGAAAAGAAATTTTACTAAACGTGGATTACAAAATTAATTATTCTACAGGTACTTTTTAACATGATACAGATTACGTGAAATGTATGACAGTGTAAACTGAATTGAAGAAAATTACATCGTAGTAGGGAAATAATTGTAAAAGTCAATCGATGTCCTTTTCACAAATCTCTTTATATTTTCAAACCTTCTTTTTTGAAGTCCTTTGTGCGTGCATTGCTCTGTCAACTCTCTCTCTCTCTCTCTCTCTCTCTCTCTCTCTCTCTCTCTCTCTCTCTCTCTCTCTATATATATATATATATATATATATTAGAGTAAGCTCCATACATCAAACAATAATAACAATTACAAATAAAGCACACGCTCCGCATTGTGTTTTCCAGCAATATTCCGGCACCGGTGAACGTCGTCGCATATGGATGAGTCACAGAAAGTCGGCATCAGCTTAATACGGGGTTTCCCTCGCCGTCGATCGGTGGAGGACCGGCTATCTTCCCGGCGGAGACGGTCCGTCTTTTCCAGTGGTGTAAACTCTGAAGCCGTGAACGTCGACGACTTCGCCGACGTATTTGGAGGCCCACCGCGGACCCTGCTGGCGCACAAATTCTCCAGATGCGGGTCATTTTACGAGGAAATATTCCGGGCGCCGGAGATTAGGTGTCCGGCGGCGAAGAGTGGCCGGTGCTTGCCGGTGTTCAGAATTCCGGCGAAGAATGAGGGATTTTACAGTGACATATTCGGGTCGGACGATGAGCGGAAATCGAGAGAGCGGTCGAGGTCGCTATCGAAAGAGAATTCGTCGTCGGCGCTGAGTTCGGAGGAGCTGAGCCCTCGCGGGCCGGCGAATGGAGAAGACGTGGCACTCTCGGGTTTTGCTTCAAAGCTCAGGTACCTGTAATAAGATTACCAACCGTGAACAAAACTAAAATCTCTTACCCTTTTTTTAAGAATTTGACGTATATGCCCTTTGGGTGTTACGTTATTTTTGCATATGCAATCTCCTTGTTCTTATTTTAATTGATTTTAATAGTGGTTTTTAAAAATTGTTTTTTAAATTTAAATATCCGAAACTATTAATAAATAAATTTATTTACGTGTTTGTTTAATCTAAATTACTAGTTTCTAAATAAATTATCCAACGGTAGAGATTATATAGAGAAGTACAGCTTGATGAAGTTGGAGATTATACCAAACCAATTCACTTTCAATACTTCAATTTTCAACTATTTAGGCTTTTAGTTTCTATAATAAGGTTGATTGTTATAGAATTAGACTAAAGAATAAGAACGACTTCCTGAAAATATGGTAAAGCAGTAATACAATTCTGAGTGTTCCTAGTGATTGCTACAGGCCAATCAATGTTCCATGGAGATGGAACACGTCCACCGTGATGCCGGCGGCTGAGGAACACCCAAGTAAACATGGGGTGCCACTTTTTGCATGCAATAGTCAGTTATTTGAATTTCAGCATCAGGATGATAATGAATTCAAGAATTTCAGAAGCTCCCCTTTTGGGTCCTCAAGAAGAGTCTCATCCCCAGAAACCGTCAGTTTTGATTCCAATTCATACCAAAGCATCAAAGTGTTCACTGATGACTGGGAGCTCAATTCCCCGTTTTCTGTTGTCTCTTCTTCGCTTAACCATGAACCCGAGGCAAAAATTTTTGTCCATGAGCACGTTCTTTCAGAACAAATTATAGAAGGTGATGAGGATGAGGATGAGGATGAGGATGATGAAGTTATGAGCTCCTATGTCATTGAACTCAACTCCAACCTTACTAGGGAAGAGTGTGGAGCATCAGCCATTGATGAAGCAATTGCATGGGCCAAAGAGAAGTTTCAATCACGAAGTTCTGATGAAGAATCAAATGCGAGAAATGATGGCAATGAGCAAACTGTTGGAAGACAAGGTGATTTGTCTTCAAGAATAAAAAGTTTCATACAAATTTAACAAACATATTGCAGCCCAGAAACAGACAATAGCAGATACTTATGTCTGTATCCTTATGATGCAGGAAGATCTGATGCAAGTGAATACTACCATGATGATGAAATTGGAGTAGTTCACGCCCAGGAGGTATTGTATTGGATAAGAAGAAATAAGTATCAGCTCATCATATCATATAAACGTTTGAAATCTGATGGGTTGTAAATTTTAAAGAAAGAAGAAATTATCTGATAACAACCAATCTTTTTTGAAGTGATTTCAATTTCAACCACTCCGTGCTTGGTCAATAGTTAAAGATTGATTCGATGACAACCTCTAATTTCACAAGATTACTTTACTAGTTGATATAAAAGGTATTGCTCAAGAAAACAAAAGGCAGAATATAGTCTTCTATAGGTGTTGTCTGGACCAAGGGTGAAATTAAAACCGTACAAAACCTGAATCAAATTAGAATAATAAAGAGTATGTGATTGAAAATGAGTAAAATTAACTTCTACCTAAAACTAGTATTTTCTGAAGCAGTTAAAACTTGTATACCTTGTAAAGGCAGTAGTTTTGTTTTCTATTTCTATTTGTATTTCCTTACAATAAAGATTATTGATAGGTGTGTCTTTTCTACAGAAGAAACAGACAGAGACAGACAAGTTGGACAGAGATATAAGATTGTGGTCATGCGGCAAGCAAACAGATATTAGGCTACTACTTTCAACACTAGATCGTGTGAGATTTTCTTTCATCATGATTTCTTATTGCTGACAATTTATCAAATCTGTAGTTATATACCACTGTGACACATGCAGATAACTGAAGAATTGACCTGGTTGTATTTATTTACCAGATTCTAAGCCTTGAGAGTGGTTGGTGTGCTATTCCTCTTGTGAGTCTATTAGAAAGCTCACAAGTGAAAAAGGCTTATCAGAAAGCAAGGTTATGCCTGCATCCAGACAAACTGCAGCAAAGAGGTGCAACATCCCTACAGAAGTATGTAGCAGAGAAGGCTTTCTCAATTCTTCAGGTATGTAAACTTTTTAGACCATATATATGGACAAATTCTACTTCTAGCATTATGATTTTTGAGGAGGATCAAAGTTGATTTCAACTTCACATTGAAACAGGATGCTTGGGCTGCATTTATTTCTGAAGATGTTTCGTTTTAGCCAGTGGATGACTCTAATTCTAGATAACTCCGTTTTGTCTGGATAGTTGTGGACAGACGCCATGCTTAACATTTGGAATGAGAGGAGTGTTGGTTGACATGCGGTCATATAATCTAAAGCCATGAAACTTGAAAACACGACCCCTTTTGTACAAATTGTTACTAATGAATCTACTTATATTTTATGTTTATATCATAATTCATAAGCTGTTTGTTGCTTTAGTAGGTATATTTCTTTGGTTGGCCTTAGCATATGATTTGTATAAGATGGAAGCGAAAATTAGTTTGTACGATTCATAAGGACTCCTATAATCCTATTGCAGCCCCAACTCATTATTAATGAGTCATTAACTACAGCCAAATGACATGCGCACTCAATTGTTGTGAACACTAATCTGTGGTTTTCAGTAACACCTATTTAAAATTGTACAACTTAATGAGTTTATTATATTTTATTTAATATTTTTTTCTTCATCTCTTTCATTGTCATTGTTTTTTTTTTCATTTATACTTTTTTTTTCTTTCATTTCTCTCTTTTTAAATATTTCCAAGTAAGTTAAGAAAAAAAACTATTTTTTTTAAATATACTTTAAAATAATTTAAGATTTATTTTGAATAACAATGTAATTTAATCTAAATTTAAATAAAATAAGTATTATAAAAAAATACTTAAATATAATGTTTTAAAAGTTATAAATAATTTGTTTAATTAATTAATATATATTTTGTATGATAAATATTGAATAATTTAATATTTAATAAATAATTAACTTTCAAATTTAAATTTAATTTTTTTAGTACGTTCACATAATCAAATATTTTTCCATTAATCAAAGTTAAAATTACAGAGCTTAAAAATAATAAAATATTTTTAATAGATTAATTTATTATTATAAATAATTTGTCAATCTTGATTATAATAATATTTAATTAAGATTTAAAAACAAATCAAAATATTTGAAAATGTTTATTCTCATAATTTTCAAGATAATTTAATGTAGTTACCTCACATACATCAAAATACAATAAAGATGCGAGAGAAAGATAAGAATGATTTCATCTTAAACTTTTTGAATACTGCATCCTATTATCAAATAATTTCTTCTTTAAATTTGATTTTCTTCAAAATGTTTTACAGAATTACAAACATTTTCTTGATGTATACAATGTTTCTTTTTAATACTTTAATTGTTTCTAAAATATATGTTTTAATTAAAGAAAGTTTACATCCTTTTATAGAGTAAAAACATTTGTCAACTTATTCAAATAATCAATTAGCAGAATATCTAATCGATTATTTGCGTATAGTGATAGTCTGAAAATAAGTCATATAATCGATTAGGTACAACATAATCGATTATTTGTGTGTTATGTCAAAACAGATATTTAGACATATAATCTATTAAGTGACTACATAATTGATTAATAGCATGTCTTATATGAAAACATGAATTAAGTCATATAATCAAGTAAATATTTATCTAATTGATTATTACAGATTTAGTTTTAACATAATTATTATTTTTAACATTTTACCTTTTTGTTTTAACAAGGATTAGATTATTTGACTTTACACAAACTGCTCACACAACTATCTAACTATTTTATAAAGACTTTCAATCAATATTCCTTCTTTATTAACAAATCCATCAACTATTTGATAAATCAACTATATCATATCATGAATACTTAATTTATCTCAGTTAATCCAATTCTTTTTATCAAAGTTTTGTTAGAAATTGATCCAATGACCTTTAAAACAATGATTATTGACAAAACAAATAAGTTATTAGCTATTATATGTCAATATAGACATGAGAACTTTTATAATTGTAGAAGTTAATATACAAATATACTTTCGAGGCATATCTATGGTTGGATCTATGTTGGCTAACATAAAAGTTTAATGTTCTAAACCTTTCACTAGAGAATATTATTAGCTTTTGATGCTAGGTTAAAGTAGTTGGTTACAAAAGCAAGGGATGATGGTACGAGGTTAGACAACTTGTTCATAATTATCAAGGTGAGAATAATAACTTACAGTATAAGAAAAAAATATTTAGTTTCATATATAATTCTAAAAGACATGAATCAACTTAGACAACGAATTTCTCCAAGTAAGGAAGAGATTCATCAAACAAAGGAAACCAATGAGCAATTTAGTTGCAAGTTTCAATCATTTCATTCTATTCTCAATGTAGCTATGTAATTCTTACCTTCTAATACCCAAATTCAGCTTCAACAACATTAGCATAACCAATAGGATGAACATGAATAATGAGATGAGCAACATGAAAAAAACGTACAACGTTGGTCTTTTCTTTATTATTCAAATTATTAATTACTATTAAAAAAAATTATTAGATAACTTTTTTAGGCTTATATTGCTTATAATTTATATGTTTTTAAAACTTGATATCATTTCCAAGATTTATTAAGTGACATTTGAATGACTTTAGTTAAAATTAGCTATTATATATAATAATATACAAATATTGTGGTTCTTACATATAAAGATTTGTGGTAAGTTTTGGATAATATTGAAAGCAATGAGGGGGAGATTGATGACAATGTGAAACATGTCCCTACATTCTCAAGAGATGATTTTGATGATGATTCAAGTCAACAACATTCAAGACTCAAACAAGTCCATGATATGATTTTGATAAAGATTTTATTCAACATTCAAGCAAGTCCCAGATGATTCCTGAAGACTAGATAGAGTCTTAAAGTACTGGATATGAATGTACAAGTTGATGAAGTGGTATTATGCATAAGCCTCCAAAGCACAAGTGTGATAAAATTTCGTAACATGACATTTTTCACTGTCATAATTGATTATGATGCATCAGAATTGAGAAATTGATTTTTATCCCGACATAATCTATTCTGTTGAGGAGATAATCGATTATGGAAGTTCAAAATTAAAAAATATATCTGTTTTGAAGAATAAATATTTTTGAATATATAATGATTTTTATCCACGAAAATATTAATGTATAATAACCATTTTCTGATGCTATTTTTATATTTAATTAACTTTTGATGGAAAATAAAAAATACACAATTACAGAATTCAAAAATTCAATTTACATTCAATCAGCTTTGAGAAAAGAATTTTGAGTAAGACAACAGAGATATTTTATACCTTTTGAGAAAACTCTTTTCTCTACTACCTTCTGTTTCATTGTTAATCACACTTGTTCTTGGAGATTGACATTCTACATGCTTCTATAATTTATTGTCTCCATTACCCAGGTCTGATTGCTCTTATTTTATTACCTTCATCCTTTGTGAGCTTAAATGGTTGATTGTTAAATTCTCTGTTTAGGGTTTAAGTAGTCACTATCATTTTGTTGTGTTTTATTTAGGGTTTCCTGTGTGGAAATTGTTCATTCCTTTGATTTGTTCAGAGGAGATGTTCATCCCTAGTGGGATTCTAAGGAGGTGTTCATCCTTAGTGAGATTCTAAAGAGGTGTGTTCATCCTTTGATTTGTTCAGAGGAGGTGTTCATCGCTAGTGAGATTCTAAGGAGGTGTTCATCCTTAATGGGTTTCTAAGGAGGTGATTGTCTTTTGAATTAGTTTACTTTTTGCTGAGTTGATTGTAATTTGTGAACTGAATTTAAAAGATAGTGAATTGGGGTCACTCTTGTGTTAAGAGTTGACTGGAAACTGGATGTAAAGTTGTTTATACCCGAACCAGTACAAATCACTGTGTACTTCTCTCTTTCCCTTATCTTTTTTTCATTGCATTACTCTCCTTACACCCCTTATTTTTATCTTTATCTTGATGATATTTTATCTCTCTGATTATATTGCTTCCGCTTTATCTTTGTTCAATTTGATAATTAAAATTGAACTAATAAATATTGGACATCTTAAAATAAATTTTTAATTTGGCATCTATTTTAATTTATGCATCTATTCACCCCCCTCTAGATGTCATTTGTCTAATAAGTGACATCAGAGCTTGGTTAGATAAGATATTTCTAAAAGATTTGTCAAGATGTCTATGCAGAATCAGGTTTACAGGGAAGAAGTCTCAATAAACAGATCACCATTATTTGAAGGAGAAGACTATTAGTTTTGGAAAGCGAGAATGAAAATATTTTTACAAACACTAGATTACGGTGTTTGGGATGTTGTACTCAACGGTCCCTACATTTCAATGAGAAAAACGGAGTTTGGAGCTGTTCCAAAGACTTTTGACCAATGAACATTAGATGAAAACAAGCGTGCCCAATATGATGTAAGAGCCCGAAACGCTATTGTTTCTGCCTTAACTGGTAATAAATTTTTCAGGGTCTCATAATGCAAGACAACAAAAGAAATATGGGACACTCTTGAAGTGACACATGAAAGAACAAATGAAGTAAAGCGAGCACATAAGAACACAGTCATCTAGGAGTATGAATTGTTTCAAATGCAGCAGAATGAAAACATCACAGATTTCCAAACATGCTTCACACATATAGTAAAGCACTTGAAATCATTAGGAAAGAGTTTTGATAATGAGAAATTGAACACAGAGATCTTGAAATCCTTAGACAGGAATTGATAACTAAAGGTCACTGCTATTACAGAATCAAAGGATCTCACAGAAATGAATATTGCTACTCTATTTGGAAAGCTGCGAGAACATGAGATGGAGCTACAAAGGTTAAAGAACGATGAACAGAATCAAACCAAGACGATAGCTTTAAAAGTAGAAAAATCTTCACAAGATGAAAGCGAAAATGAAGGTAAGTTTTTTTATTCCGATATGTCTCTTTTTGTTAAACAATTTTCTCGCTTTATGAAGAATAAGAAAAAAAGACAACAAAGAAATGAGAAAACAAATAAATATTATTGCTATGAATGTGGAAAACCTGGTCACATCAAACCAGACTGTCCGGAACTTAAGAAAGAAAAGAAAGATGTGAAGAAAGAGAAGAACAATATCTATAAGAGAAAACACAAATCTTATATTGATTGGGAGGATAATGATTCTTTCACAAC